TGGATTTAAAGAGCAAATTTTCAGGAAATACGTGTGTCATTTGTTCATTTGTTTTTTTCAAAATAAAACCAAAAATAAGAAACTATTTTCTTCATTATTTGTTTCCAAAACCAAGATAAAAAAAAACGAATCACGGCTGTTTCCCGTTTACGTGACTAAACCAGGACTTAAACCAGGACTTGAACCAGGACTTGAACCAGGACTGAGTGTTGGGACGGACCCGGAGGTGCATCTACACAGACTGTTAGGTGATCAGGACTGAGACCGGAACCAGACTAGGACTGAGACTAGGACTGAGACCAGGACCAGACTAGGACTGAGACCGGGAAAGGGACAAGACCAAAATTGAGACCGGGACCAGATAGGGACTGAGACCGAGAATGACTTTAGTCCTGGTTCAGTCCTGGTTCAGTCCTGGTTCAGTCCAGGTTCAGTCCTGGTTTAATCCTGGTTTAGTCCTGGTTTAGTCCTGGTTCAGTCCTGGTTTACATGGATTGAGGAAGAACTTTGGACCACTACAAACTGTTTACAATGAACTAGTTCTGTTTTTCATGTTTTTAAGACTCAAAATCAGGTCCAGCGCCTTTAACTGTGACATTTAATATATTTGTGCAACTTGTTTTATGTTCTTCATGATCTTCCACAGTCGGTGTTTAAGCTGCTCTGGGACAAAGTGGAAGAAATTAATCCGTGTGTCATTCGTTCATTCGTTTTTCAAAATAAAACCAAAAATAGAAAAATGAAAAAACAACGATTTTCTTCATTATTTGTCTCCAAAACCAAAATGAAAAAAGGATTTTGTGTTTAAACTAATGATGAAAAAACAGATAACAGCTGTTTCCCGTTTCCGTGACTTAAACTGTGATGCCGGACTGAACCAGGACTAAAACAGGACTAAATCAGGTCCGTGACCAGACCAGAACCAGACCGGGACTGAATCCAGGACCAGGACCAGGACTGAGACTGGTACTGAGACCAGGGACTGAGACCAGGAGTGAGACCAGGAGTGAGACCAGGAGTGAGACCGGGACCAAGACCAAGACCACTGAGACCGGAACCAGACCGGGATTGAGACCAGGACCAGACCAAAACTGAGACCGGGAGTGAGACTGGGACTGAGACCAGGACTGAGACCAGAACCAGACCGGGCCCAGACCGGGATTGAGATCGGGGCAAGACCGGGATTGAGATCGGGGCCAGACCAGGACTGAAAACTGTTCAGTCCTGGTTCAGTCCGTATGCGGTGCAAAAGTCCGTTATCCATTTTTTCCATTTTTCATTTAAACACAAAATCGAAAACTGAAAAACTGAATCATTATCTGTTTTTTTCTCATTTTAGTTTTGGAGACAAATAATGAAGAAAATAGTTGTTTTTTTCGTTTTCTTATTTTTGGTTTTATATTGAAAAAAGAATAAACGAACGACACACGGGTTGAAATTTGCTGCGATCTTTCCAAATCTCTTCCACATTTCACATCAGCCCCAAAGCAAAAGAGCAGAGATCATGAAGAACCTGATGCCCCGCCCTGTCCCCAGGTTTAACTTTAACATGAATGAGGCCTTTAAACAACCGCTCCAGGAAAAGTCCAAGGAAAGAAACGTGTCCTCTGCATTTGACCCATCCTTCAGTGTCTCTGGGTTAAACCTGTCAGGATCCTGGTGTGGAGAACACAAACACATTCTAGATCTGAGCCAAGAGCAGTGCTAACCACTCTGCCACACAATAATGTCTCATTTATAAGATTTAACAAGGAGAAAGTTTGGATTTCATATGAAAGCGAGAAAACCCATGAAGCGTCAGGACGGAGCGCTGATTTGTCCGATTTGTCCGAGTGAATGTCACCTGTGAACAAACACAAGAGTCAGAAGCAGAAATACAGGTCACTAGGGATGCAACGATATTCGATATAATATTGAATTGTTCGATACTGGTCTCAAAATGTCGATACGTGTTCCCACTGTCATTGTCATTTATAGGGATTTATAGCTGAAATATTCTAACAGAGGAGGGTTTTATGTTTCAGTTACTTTTTATTTTACGTTGATAGACGTAAGGGAAGTTGTCTTGGACCCCTTATTTATAATATTTTTATTAATGAAATTTCTCATGTTTTAAATACGGCCAATTTAATAACATATGCCGATGATGTCACACTCTACGTATCTGCAAAAACATGTGATCATTTAAATATCATTCTTCAGCATGAACTAGATGTGATTCATAATTGGGCTAATGAAAATAAGTTAAAAATCAATGTTCTAAAAACAAAACGTATGGTTCTGGGGTCTAAAAGTGCTTTAAAATCTGTGTACAATCTTAATCTCTCCATGCAAGGTGCTGACATCGAGCAGGTGAAAGAGGCCAAATTATTGGGAGTTAAAATTGACTCCACTTTATCATGGGCTGCTCATATTAAAAACATTGTTGCTAAAATGACTTCTGTCATCTCAAATATAAGACGCTGTGTATATTTTTTTACCTTTTTCAAACATTAAGATCGTTATTCAGTCTCTGGTCCTTTCACATTTAGACTACTGCTCGGTAATCTGGTCAAGTGCCTCAAAAAAGGATCTTGTCAAACTTCAACTAATCCAGAACAGGGTGGCTCCTCTGGCTCTGCGTTGCCCTTTTAGGACCAGCGTGAGCGTCGTGCACGAGAGGTTATCCTGGTTTACTGTTCAGGACAGACTACCTGTAGCCTTATTTTTTTTTTAAAAAATGTATGTATTTTACAAAGACCCTTGAGCCTGTTTGCACAACTACTGCCCTTTAGTGGTCGGCAGGTTTTATCACAAGACAAGCTTCACATGGACATTTTATACTTCCACTGCCCAGGACTAATGCTCTGAAAAGAACTGTTCTGTACAGAGCGATATTGCTTTGGAATACGCTCCCCAAACCTTAACTGTTCACAAGCATGAACCAAGTTTTAAGAAAATGTTAAAGAAATATATTGGAAATTGTATATAATTATATCTAGTCATTAGTCACGCATTGTAATTATTGGATATATTATAATTGTAGTAGTGTTGTGTAGTGCAGTATACTCTGGAACAGGACTGTATGAACTTATGTGTGACACTTTATTATTATAATGGAACATTTTAATTGTAAATGTATGCAACTTGGACCCCAGGAAGAATAGTCTTTACCTGAGTAATGGGGATCCAATAAATAAATAAATAAATAAATCAGACCCACGAATGACAAAGATATTCACTGTGTAATATACTTTAATCCAATTTTTTTTGGCCCCTATGCTCCTGTATCTGATCTTTTAATGACAGTCTGAACCACACAGATCCGATTTTTTTTCAAATGTGACCCAGGACACTTGGATATGTGCTCCTAAAACTGATACATATCTGATCTTTTGACATGCGACTTCAGTCTGAACGGTCAAAGTGCATTCATCCACCTACACGTTATCAACAAGACACAAACGTCACTATTCTGCGCTGAAGTAGGCGGCTGTCGTGCGGTAACAAGCACCTGACGTCACATGGACCTCACTTTGAGCAAGACACTTCTGTAGACTTAAAGGAGCAGGTTTGGAGCAGATGATAAACACAGAGTAAAGTGTTAGACTCACCGTGGCTGAGGGTTCAACTCCTGCAGCACCTCCTTCTCACTCGGAGCTACAACACAAAAGTACAGCTCATTACACACAATCAAACACTGCTTCTGCTTCTAGTTTTACTCTGTGAACTCCAGAGAAAGAAGAAAAATCTATTCTGGAAATCAACTAAACACCATTTCTAACTTCTAGTCGTCACAGTCCTGTAATAGTCGCAGTATTAGGAGCAGTAAATGAAAGTGTTACTTACGAGGCGAGGGCTGTTTGTCTGAAACAGAAACAAAAAAAAACTGTTAGTTTAATGTTTGAAGTTTGTCCAAAATGAGAAGCACATGACTCGATGTTGTGTTACCTCTAAATCTCCAGTACAAGACGAAGGCGACCACAGCGAGGACAACAGCAGCGAGAACAACAGACGCAACAGAGATGAGAACTGTGTGACTCTTCTCTGTGACAGACAGAGGACAACACCACAACACGTCAGTCATGATAAAACACACACACACACAACACGTCAGTCATGATAAAACACACACACACACAACACGTCAGTCATGAAAAAACACACACACACAACACGTCAGTCATGATAAAACAACACACACACACACACGTCAGTCAGTCATGATAAAACACACACACACACAACACGTCAGTCATGATAAACACACACACACACAACACGTCAGTCATGATAAAACACACACACACACAACACGTCAGTCATGATAAAACACACACACACACACAACACGTCAGTCATGATAAAACACACACACACACAACACACACGTCAGTCATGATAAACACACACAACACACAACACGTCAGTCATGATAAAACACACACACACACACACACACACACGTCAGTCATCATGATAAAACACACACACAACACGTCAGTCATGATAAAACACACACACACACAACACGTCATGATAAAACACACACACACAACACGTCAGTCATGATAAAACACACACACACACACAACACGTCAGTCATGATAAACACACACACACACAACACGTCAGTCATGATAAAAACACACACACACACAACACGTCAGTCATGATAAAACACACACACACACAACACGTCAGTCATGATAAAACACACACACACACACACACACACATCAGTCATGATAAAACACACACACACACACACACACGTCAGTCATGATAAAACACACACACACACACACACAACACGTCAGTCATGATAAAACACACACACACACACACGTCAGTCATGATAAAACACACACACACACACACACACAACACTCAGTCATGATAAACACACACACACACAACACGTCAGTCATGATAAACACACACACACACACAACACGTCAGTCATGATAAAACACACACACACACAACAACGTCAGTCATGATAAAACACACACACACACACAACACGTCAGTCATGATAAAACACACACACACAACACGTCAGTCATGATAAAACACACACACACACACAACACGTCAGTCATGATAAACACACACACACACACACACGTCAGTCATGATAAAACACACACACACACACACAACACGTCAGTCATGATAAAACACACACACACACACACACACATCAGTCATGATAAAACACACACACACACAACACGTCAGTCATGATAAAACACACACACACACACACACACACAACACGTCAGTCATGATAAAACACACACACACACACAACACGTCAGTCATGATAAACACACACACACACACACAACACGTCAGTCATGATAAACACACACACACACACACACAGTCATGATAAAACACACACACACAACACGTCAGTCATGATAAAACACACACACACACACACACACAGTCAGTCATGATAAAACACACACACACACACAACACGTCAGTCATGATAAAACACACACACACACAACACGTCAGTCATGATAAAACACACACACACACACACACGTCAGTCATGATAAAACACACACACACACACACACAGTCATGATAAACACACACACACACACAACACGTCAGTCATGATAAAACACACACACACAACACGTCAGTCATGATAAAACACACACACACAACACGTCAGTCATGATAAAACACACACACACAACACGTCAGTCATGATAAAACACACACACACACACACGTCGTCAGTCATGATAAAACACACACACACACAACACGTCAGTCATGATAAAACACACACACACACACAACACAGTCAGTCATGATAAAACACACACACACACAACACGTCAGTCATGATAAAACACACACACACACACACACACAACACGTCAGTCATGATAAAACACACACACACACAACACGTCAGTCATGATAAAACACACACACACACAACACGTCAGTCATGATAAAACACACACACACACACAACACATCAGTCATGATAAAACACAACACACACACACGTCAGTCATGATAAACACACACACACAACACACACGTCAGTCATGATAAAACACACACACACACACACGTCAGTCATGATAAAACACACACACACACACACAACACGTCAGTCATGATAAACACACACACACAAACTTTTCGAGTTATTAATATCTAAAGGTTTAAACTGTTTAAATGTATTTGTTTATATCACTTCAGTTGTACCAATAAACATTTGGACGAAGAAACCAAATTTGAAAGAATATTATAGATTTAAAGTCTTAAAATGTCATTCGGTGAAATGGGTCACTATTTGCACAAATTATAAATATTGACAAAATCATAAACTTTTCTTTGTGGCATAATTTTAAAAGCCTCGGCATCAACATTTGAAATTATTTTCAAATTAACACACAAAGAACAACTTTTAATGTATTAAATAAAGTCTATTTTATCAATGTCAATGTGTTAAAAGGCCAATTTGAACAATAATCTGAGATCTTTCCTCATGTATCACCTGATGACATCACTGTGTGGACCCTGCAGGACTCTCAAGTGGAAACAAGATTCAGATTTGTCTCTTAGTTTTTGCTGGTGACACTTTTGTCACGAGAAATACAAAAGCCACAGTTTTGGACGACATTTGGTGCAACGTTCAAAATGTGTTTAAAACTGTTATAATTTCAAAAATAAATCTGATATTGGTGTGAACAGTCGACACTGATGCTTGTGTTTCTCTTTGATGGAGAAAGTATAAACCAGTTTAGAATGAAAATGTATGAAAAATGTGTCATTTATTAAACATTTAACTCAAAAATATCTGCATTTCTTTTATAATTTTATTTGTATTATTTACTATTCAAATAAAACTATAGATGTTACTATATTAGAGTCATAATTTTCATTTGAAAATGTAAAATAATCACATAAATAAAGGAAATTAGGTTTGGTACATTCATGAGTAATAATTCAAAATGCAAATGGACAATAAATATATTAAATGTACAAATATTTGTGAGATTTGGTTGATTTTTTTATCAAGTTAGTTTCAAACAAAAGGACTTTTTTTTTATATTTCAGTTGAACCGTTATTCAGTAAAATTGTGATATTATAATGAAATGTATTTTTAAAAGTCTGTTTTGACATAAAAAAAATAAAAAAATTTAAGTAAGAACTTAAATTTAAAGAGGTAAAGTGCTAACATGCTTAAGTTTTATCCAGTTTTAAAGTGTTTTACTCTTTTTATGAAAAAAATTCAAATTAAAAAGTTGGGCAAATTGTTTAAAAAATTCTCCAAAACTTTAAGAAAAAAACCAAACAAAAAAAGGCCTACTGTTTATTTGTAGATCTCACGATGTTTTTCATCCATTTTCAAAACTATAATTTATTTTAAATCTAATTAAATTTTAACAATATGTCTGTTGCACTGAATGACATTTTGAAGACGTCTTTGGCTTTAAATACATTTTCAAGAGGCAAAAAAGATAAAATATACACTTAAATAAACCCGAAAAATCTACACATTTTTGCATGTCATTATATTTTAATTTTTTTTGAGCATTTGAAAAATTGCAAAACGTCACTGACCAATTTCTGTCATTATCTGGTTTATCCAGTTTTCTAAAATCGTCCTGGAATAACTGAGTTAAATGGTCGATATCAAGAACATCGACTGCAGCGTAACAGGGCTGCAGAGTTTGACTAAATACAGGTCACAATATAATGGTAAAAACTAAAAAAATATAACTTTAATTCATCTTTTACTCTAAATGGTAAATCTGGATATAAAGTGTTTTCATCTGTTTTTATCTTGTCTTTAATTGTTTTGAAAATGATAAATTTGCTCTGGTAAAATGCAAGATTAAAACAGCATCAAAATTTCCTTTTTTATGTCATGGATGATCTAAAACCTGTTCAGACATGTTTTTGATGAGGGAACAACGTTATAACATGAGAGAAAGATTTAAAAAAAAGCTGCTCTCACCGTTGGTCAGGATCTTGTTCCGGTCCAGTCTGGTCACATAGTCGTCTTTGACCCCGGACAGCTGGAACACACAGTTGAACTTGTCCCAGTCCTCAGGGGGGACAGAGGACAGGTCCAGGGACACACTGGTCTGGAAGGTCCCGTCTCCGTTGGGCAGGATCTCTCCAGGGTCCACGTCCTCCGTCACCTCCACTCCGTCTTTGGTCCAGAACAGCATGGCTCTGTCGGGGTAGAAGCGTGTGGCGTGGCACGTGACTGGGGCTGAAGAGGACTTCTGCAGCAGGGACACCAGGGGGAGCTCTACACAGCAGCACAACAGTTACACAACCACTCACACATTTACACACAATATACAACAAATATGTAGAAAACTAACGTCCATGAACAGTTTGGACAATTCATTAGAAGACATCAGATACAACAAACACATTTAAGATTTGACAGAAAATCAAACAAATACTTTCCATCCTCCTGTAGAGTTTTTATTGTTTTATTCCCTCCAGAGTGAATTACAGGAGACACAAAATAAAGATCTGTTACAGTGTTTTAAAACTACTCGTCTGTTACCTGTCCTCTTCAGAGCGCTCTCTCCGTTGCGCACATGTTTCTTCAGATACTCAGCACAGATGTGAATGATGTAGTTTTTCCTTCTGGCACCGACTCCTTCCCTCTCCCATCTCTGTTTGGTGACCAAAGGCCTGTTGTTTTGCAGCCACATAAGTTTCAGTCTCAAAATCAAATGAAATAAAATCTTCTCCATCAAAAGCGATCCTGATCATATCCTTTGATCTCATTAGTCTCATCGTCCCAGTCACAGCCGTACATCCAACTGATAAAGATGTTGATCTGAAACAGAAACAAAACAGTTTAAAAGATTCAAACTTCTTCAGGGACATTTATGTTTCTATTTCATTTTTATAAATCATCAGTTGTATTTTGAAGTGAAATATTTCCATTTTACAGCTTCAGTTGGTCTGTGTGTGTCTTTTCTCGACTGTTTCATTGTTGTTTGTGTTAAATCTACAACTGTGTGAAGCTCTGGGAGGAAACTGGTGTTGTGATTTTTGGCTCTGTACAAAAAGTGATAAAACAGAATCTGGAAAACAAGTGAACGTAACACAGTCCCTGATCCCTGACCAACAAAACTCCACTGCTGCAAACACACACAAAGATTTACATCAAAACTACTTTTTTCTACTTTCATTACAAGGACAAAGAAACTGTCCATAAATATTTCACACTAAATGTGTTTCATTCATAAAAAGATGTTAAATGATCATCTGAAAAGTTCAGATCACACAAACCTCCGGTCACGTTGAGGCGTCGTTTCTCAATTTCTATTTGGGCTTTTCCCTCCTGCTCATTCCCCAAATTGATCTGAGTGCTCCTCTCCCAGTACTGAGGATCCTCCTCTGTGATTTTGTTCATCCACTCCTGTTTGGGGACATATTTCTTTGTGAAACTGTCGTAGTGAGTGATCTGGAGGTCGTCCACATATCCAACCTCAATGAACTCTGGGAAGTTTGGGACTTGAGATGAAGAAGTGCCAAAATATTTCAAAGTGTGAACCGCTGTGAAAACAAAACAACCATTTCAGAACTCAGTGTAAATGACAGTTAAGATTCTTAGTGAATATTATTAATCACATTAATTTCAATGAACTCTGCAAAGTTTTGAGATGAATTTACAAAACAGTTGAGTTTCCAATAATATAGAAGAGCCACCCTCTGATTTTCTGCCTTTTACTCCAAAAACAAACTGGACGATCCGTTACAAAAAGGGCTGTGCGATTAATCGAACCGATATTCAGTCATTTCTAATCCTCAATGATCAGACTGTGTGTTTTTAATGGAGATTTTTGGTGTTAAATGGAACTGATTAAAAGTCTGTATTGTTTATATTTATTCAACTTAAGATTAAAGATGTTTGTATTTGTTTTAAAGAGACAAAATACAACTGAATCTGATCAATATGAAACATATATTCATGGAAACACTAAGTAGTATTGATCATAATTTGTTTTATTGCTGAGTTTAGATTAAAATAAAATAAAACACTACAACCTTAAAGCAACCTTTAATATTACACTATTGTCTGATCTTTGTTCTAATGTTGTTTCCTCGTCACAAACAGACCTGGACTTGTGTTTTGTTTCATTCACACAAGTTTAACACACAAACCTGCACATTTAGTGACTCTATGCACCTTCACTAGAATCACTGTGATGATTTCAGCCTTTGACCATCTCTACTGAACAAAAGTTAAACATGTAGATGAAAACTACCACTTCATGACATCACAAGGTAGAACAGAGCATTTTGAGCTTTTAGAAGTAGACAGATTAATAATAAATGATTACTCAAACATGTGTGGATGAAACAAAACTAAAATTCCAGGTGTTTTTGAGGAGGCAACAACATTTGAACATTAAGATGGCTTCCAAAATATTAAATTTTTCTTTATTTTAAATCAACGCTGGCAACACAAAATACATTGTTCAACAATGTCAAAGGTGCAACTAAGTTCATACTTTATTTTTCACAATAATAAACTAAATAAATAATAATAAAATATGATTAATACAAAATGCAGTGCAAGAGGCAGAGCTGCTCGATTATGGAAAAAATCATTATCACGATTATTTTGGTCAATATTGAAATCACGAAATTCACGATTGCATTCATTTACGTGTGCCATCTCATTGCGTGCTGCCGTGTTCACTGCTCGCTCCTGCGCTTCGCTGCGCGCTTCTGCGCGCACCTGGGCGCATGCGCAGACCGCACCTGCCTGTTCGCTGCTGTGAGTCTTTTTGTGTTTGACCTGGTGGGACCGTCATCTTTTGAAGTTAGTTTTCATTTTTTTTTAGTTTAGTGATGTCGGTACCGGCTCCTACGGCCCTGTACACCCTGCCACATCCTTTTGTTCTGTTTGGTGCTACCAGGTCCACCTTTCTGTTGTACTTTGTTTTTCTTCTTTTAAATACTTCTGTTTTGATCCACCCGGGTCGTAACAAGCATTTCTCTCTCAAAAACAACACTTTGTTATTGATAATTTAAGCAAAACTTTCAAATTGAAAATAAATACAGGAAATATGAACCTTAGAGCAGTTTTGTGATGCATAAAACATAAAATCGAATGAAAAAATATAAACTTTGAACATGAAAAAAGGCAGAAAAACATAAATGTATAAAAAATAAACTATATATCCAGCTGTTCTACAACCTCTATATTTAAAAAAATAATAAATAAATATACTTATTTACATAAAAAATATCCCAAAATAAACTTTGTTAAGTTAAATTGTTTCAAATTGATGATATGAGTTTGAGATCGTTTGACACAAAAATCAAAATCCTGATGAAAATTCAATGAACTGCACAGTCTTAGAAAGAGTCTTTCACATCTGCATAAAATGATTCATTACAACAGTTTGTTTAGATTTAATATGACACAAGACTCTTAAATTACAAAAATCCATTAAGATAAATTTGGAACAAAGGGTTTTATATTTGAGAATTTACATTTATGAATAAACTGTTGCTCTGGTAATAAACAAGAATTATAGAAAAGTTCCTTTTTGTTGTCTTGTAAAATGACTCCATATTTTACCTTCTTCTTGGTGACATTTGGTTAAATCTGTGTCATTTTCCACCATCCACATTTGGAACAAGTCCCAAATCGTTCTAAATAATATCGTTCACAATAAAAGAACAAATGTTCAACAGTTTCTATTTCACTGGTACAAAATGTGAACTTATTGGTCTCCAAATTAAAACAACTCTTCAAAAAATCATTGCAGGGATAAATATTATTTAACATTTAAAGTGAGTTTCTTTGACTTTAGGAGAAACTGGAAATAAGAGGTAATTTGTTCTTTTTAATATTAACTGGAAAGTTTTTAAGTGCACTAATTATTTTTAATGGGAGAAGATACAATTTGGTAGTAATAATGTTTCTTAATATTTGATCTGAACATTTTTTGTCGTTAAATTCATCTATGGTGTGTAAAGAGAATCTTGGTATAATCTCTGTGTCTTTTATTTTCATGTTTTTTATTATTTATTGGTATTCTTGCTCTTATTTGATTTGACTTAAGTCGAGCTTTATTTTATACTTCTTTTGGATATGTTTTATTTGTTTTGTGCAGCACTTTGGAAACTGTTTTGTTTATGAAATATTTTATATAAATAACGTGGATTGGATAATTCTGTCACAGCTCAACATGTCATTAACTAGACTGAACAATTCCAATGGGACATGGAGGCCAAAACATTTCCCTGCGTAACGAGCCCATGAACTAGTCCAACTAAAGAGTGAACAAGAACAACATTAACAGCTCATTATCCTTTACATGACCAACTTTATCTGAATTTAAATGGAATAAACCAATATATTACATTTTCTGTTCAATTTAAACTGTTGTTATTCTGCGTCTCAAATTGGGAAGTGAAAGTATTTTTATTTTAACTGCGCAATCACGACTGCACAAAACCCAGACTGAACACACAAAAACCCTGTAGAATCTCATTAAAGCTGAACACTAAACTGAACACGGACGCAGTAAACACTATGATAACTCTATTTGTGCTTTTCTAAATCCACGTTTCTTGCTTCTTCTTGGACAAGTGAACGCACAAAAACAGCTTTACTCACTGGCTGTGGCTCCGTGTAGCAGTGTCCCCAGGAGCAGGAGCAGCGCACACGAGTTCATCTTGAAAACATGAAAGTATAAAAAGATCTTATTGTCTCATCTTATCTTCTTATCTTCTGGGACACTCTCTCTCTCTCTGTCTCTGTCTCTGTCTGTGTCTCTGTCTCTGTCTGTGTCTGTGTCTCTGTCTGTGTCTGTGTCTGTGTCTGTGTCTGTGGACTCGATTCTCACTCGTTTCTCCCTCGCGGTTTTAAACCAATCAGAAAATAGCAACGAGAGGCAGCGTCATGTGTTACTAGGTAGAAGAGACTGGAAAAGGTTGTAGAGAAAGTGAAAGTAAAAAGCAGAGGTCGTACAGGAGGCAAAAATTCCCCTGTAATGTCACTTCAAAATAATATTACTCAAGTAGAAGTGCAAAGTAGTGGGCTGAAAAATCACTCAAGTAAGAATAAAAATATATTTGGGTAAAGCACTACTCAAGTAAAAGTAACTTAAAGAGTAACTGTCTGGACGTAACATCTGATTTATAATTTAAAGTGAATGTTCAAATCATTTCATATTGTCACATGAAGCTTTTGTCACTTCAGACTCACTCACAGTGGGAAGAGGAAGCACAACTTTTACTCGAGTAAGAATACTGTTACTCCAGTTAAAATATTACTCAAGTATGCTGCTAGAAAAGTACAATTTCTTTTACAAAACTGACTCAAGTAAATGTAATTCATGTTTGGATAAAGTCCTTGCACACGTTATGAAAGTCAGACTTCTGCTGTTGTGAGTCAAACAGTGAAATGTGACGTTATTTTCTTCAACTTTAATGATCTTAAAGTCGATTTTCTTCCACCTTTTCTCTTTCAAACGCTCCTCTTACTGGTCCCGTCGCTAAATGACCTCCTCAGACGAATCTTTTCACGGTTCAGGACTTGATCTGGACTGTTTTACCTCACGGAGAACTCTTTGGCTGGTTCAGTCTTGGTCTAGTTCTGGTCTAGTCCTGGTCTAGTGCTGTTCGAGTCCTAGTCATGGTTCTGTCCTGGTCTAGTCCTGGTTTGGTCCCGGTTCAGGCCTGGTTTTGTCCTGATCTAATCTCGGTCTAATCCTGGTTCAGGTTTGGTCTGGTCCTTGTCTGGTTCTGGTCTAGTAATGGTTCAGTCCAGGTCCAGTACTGTTGTAGTCTTGGTTCGGTCCTTCTTCAGCCCTGTTTTAGTCCTGATCTAGTTCTGTTCTAGTCCTGGTTTAGTCCTGGTCTAGTCCTGGTTTAGTTCTGGCATAGTCTTGGTCTAGTCCTGGTCTAGTCCTGGTTTACTTCTGGTCTGGTCCTGGCGTAGTCCTTGTTTGGTCCTGTTTCAACCCCGGTTTAGTCCTGATCTACTCGTGGTCTAATGCTGGTTATGGCCTGGTCTAGTCTTTGTCTAGTTCTGGTCTAGTCTTGGTCTAGTTCTGGTCCAGTCCTGGTTTAATTCTGGTCTAGTCTGTCTTTAGTCCTGATCTAGTTCTGGTTTAGTCTTGGTCTAGTCCTGATCTAATCCTGGTCTAGTCCTGGTCTCGTTCTGGTTTAGTCCTGGTTTAATTCTGGTCTAGTTCTGGTCTAATCCTGGTCTAGTTCCGGTTTAGTCCTGGTTTAATTCTGGTCTAGTTCTGGTCTAATCCTAATCTAGTTCTGGTCTAGTCTTGCTCTAGTCCTAGTCTAGTCCTGGTCTAGTCCCGATCTAGATCTGGTCTAGTCCTGGTCTAGTCCAGCTCTAGTCCTGTTTTAATCCGGCTCTAGTCCTAATCGAGTCCTGGTCTAATCTGGCTCTAGTCCGGCTCTAGTCCTGCTCTAATCCTGGTCTAGTTCTGGTTTAGTCCTGGTCTAGTCCTGCTCTAGTCCTGGTCTAATCCTGGTCTAGTCCTGGTCTAGTCCTGGCCTAATCTGGCTCTAGTCCTGGTCTAGTCCTGGTCTAGTCCTGGTCTAATACTGCTCTAGTCCTGGTCTAGTCCTGGTATAGTTCTGATCTAGTCCTGGTCTAGTCCTGGTCTAGTCTGGTCTAGTCTGGTCTAGTCCTGGTCTAGTCCTGGTCTAGTTCTGGTTTAGTCCTGGTCTAGTCCTGCTCTAGTCCTGGTCTAATCCTGGTCTAGTCCTGGTCTAGTCCGGCTCTAGTCCTGGTCTAGTCCTGGTCTAGTTCTGGTCTAGTCCTGGTCTAGTCCTGGTCTAGTCCTGGTCTAGTCCTGGTCTAGTCCTGGTCTAGTCTGGTCTAGTCTGGTCTAGTCTGGTCTAGTTCTGGTCTAGTCCTGGTCTAATCCTGTCTAGTCTGGTCTAGTCCTGGTCTAGTCTGGTCTAGTCCTGGTCTAGTCTGGTCTAGTTCTGGTCTAGTCCTGGTCTAGTTCTGGTCTAGTCCTGGTCTAGTTCTGGTCTAGTCCTGGTCTAGTTCTGGTCTAGTCCTGGTCTAGTCCTGGTCTAGTTCTGGTCTAGTCCTGGTCTAGTTCTGGTCTAGTCCTGGTCTAGTTCTGGTCTAGTCTCCTGGTCTAGTCCTGGTCTAGTCCTGGTCTAGTCTCTGGTCTAGTCTGGTCTAGTCCTGGTCTAGTTCTGGTCTAGTCCTGGTCTAGTCCTGGTCTAGTCCTGGTCTAGTTCTGGTCTAGTCCTGGTCTAGTCCTGGTCTAGTTCTGGTCTAGTCCTGGTCTAGTCCTGGTCTAGTCCTGGTCGTGTGGATAAATCTTTACATCATAAAGTGACATCTGGACTCGATGGCTCTGCTGACTCAGGTCATTTTCACGTGATACGAGTCGTTGTGTCCAGCGTTAATCACAGATGTTTGGAGACGATCTTTTTCACCCAAACACATTTTATTGAAAAGCAAAAATGCACAGATGAGTTCAAACAGCGTCTACAGTTAATAAGTAAATGAACCTTCACAAAAGTTTAAACAAATCACACAAAAATAAACCACAATAAAATAAAACCCACAAACTGATCACAACGATTTTGAAATAAATTAAATAAGAAAATCACAACTTTTTCACAACGGAGAAAAACAGCATTGACGACTGGTGACGCATGGATGTCTATGGTGGAATGTTAAGCGGTTACCGTGGTGACACAACGCACACATCAGCAAACACTGTCGAGAAAGATTTTAAACGGTGTGAAAACTCAAGAAAAAAAACAAAACAAAATGGATTTAAAGAGCAAATTTTCAGGAAATACGTGTGTCATTTGTTCATTCGTTTTTTCAAAATAAAACCAAAAATAAGAAAATGAATAAAACAACTATTTTCTTCATTATTTGTTTCCAAAACCAAGATAAAAAAAAACGAATCACGGCTGTTTCCCGTTTACGTGACTAAACCAGGACTTAAACCAGGACTTGAACCAGGACTGAGTGTTGGGACGGACCCGGAGGTGCATCTACACAGACTGTTAGGTGATCAGGACTGAGACCGGAACCAGACTAGGACTGAGACCGGGAAAGGGACAAGACCAAAATTGAGACCGGGACCAGATCGGGACTGAGACCGAGAATGACTTTAGTCCTGGTTCAGTCCTGGTTCAGTCCTGGTTTAGTCCTGGTTTAGTCCTGGTTTAGTCCTGGTTTACATGGATTGAGGAAGAACTTTGGACCACTACAAACTGTTTACAATGAACTAGTTCTGTTTTTCATGTTTTTAAGACTCAAAATCAGGTCCAGCGCCTTTAACTGTGACATTTAATATATTTGTGCAACTTGTTTTATGTTCTTCATGATCTTCCACAGTCGGTGTTTAAGCTGCTCTGGGACAAAGTGGAAGAAATTAATCCGTGTGTGTCATTCGTTCATTCGTTTTTCAAAATAAAACCAAAAATAGAAAAATGAAAAAACAACGATTTTCTTCATTATTTGTCTCCAAAACCAAAATGAAAAAAGGATTTTGTGTTTAAACTAATGATGGAAAAAACAGATAACAGCTGTTTCCCGTTTCCGTGACTTAAACTGTGATGCCGGACTGAACCAGGACTAAAACAGGACTAAATCAGGTCCGTGACCAGACCAGAACCAGACCGGGACTGAATCCAGGACCAGGACCAGGACTGGGACCAGGACTGAGACCAGATCAGGACCAGACTGTGATTTGAGACCGGGACTGAGTGTGGGACCAGGACCAGGACTAAGACCAGAACCAGACCAGGACCAGACCAGGACTGAGACCGGAACCAGACCAGGACTGAGACCAGGACCAGACTAGGACTGAGACCGGAACCAGACCAGGACTGAGACCGGGACCAGATTGGAACCAGACCGGGATTCAGACCGGGATTCAGTCCGGAACCAGACCGGGACTGAGACCGGAACCAGACCAGAACCAGACCAGGACTGAGACCGAAACCAGACCTGGACCAGACCAGGACTGAGACCGAAACCAGACCTGGACCAGACCAGGACTGAGACCGGAACCAGACCAGGACAGAGACCTGGACTGGGACCAGACCAGAACTGAAAACTGTTCAGTCCTGGTTCAGTCCGTATGCGGTGCAAAAGTCCGTTGTCCATTTTTTCCATTTTTCATTTAAACACAAAATCGAAAACTGAAAAACTGAATCATTATCTGTTTTTTTCTCATTTTAGTTTTGGAGAAAAATAATGAAGAAAATAGTTGTTTTTTTTGGTTTTCTTATTTTGGTTTTATACCGAAAAACAAACAAACGAACGACACACGGGTTGAAATTTGCTGCGATCTTTCCAAATCTCTTCCACATTTCACATCAGCCCCAAAGCAAAAGAGCAGAGATCATGAAGAACCTGATGCCCCGCCCTGTCCCCAGGTTTAACTTTAACATGAATGAGGCCTTTAAACAACCGCTCCAGGAAAAGTCCAAGGAAAGAAACGTGTCCTCTGCATTTGACCCATCCTTCAGTGTCTCTGGGTTAAACCTGTCAGGATCCTGGTGTGGAGAACACAAAACACATTCTAGATCTGAGCCAAGAGCAGTGCTAACCACTCTGCCACACAATAATGTCTCATTTATAAGATTTAACAAGGAGAAAAATTTGGATTTCATATGAAAGCGAGAAAACCCATGAAGCGTCAGGACGGAGCGCTGATTTGTCCGATTTGTCCGAGTGAATGTCACCTGTGAACAAACACAAGAGTCAGAAGCAGAAATACAGGTCACTAGGGATGCAACGATATTCGATATAATATTGAATTGTTCGATACTGGTCTCTCTGGTCTTTCGATACACGTGTCGCTCCATGCCCCCTGTCATTTATAGGGATTTATAGCTGAAATATTCTAACAGAGGAGGGTTTTATGTTTCAGTCACTTTTTATTTTACGTTGATAGACGTAAGGGAAGTTGTCTTGGACCCCTTATTTATAATATTTTTATTAATGAAATTTCTCATGTTTTAAATACGGCCAATTTAATAACATATGCCGATGATGTCACACTCTACGTATCTGCAAAAACATGTGATCATTTAAATATCATTCTTCAGCATGAACTAGATGTGATTCATAATTGGGCTAATGAAAATAAGTTAAAAATCAATGTTCTAAAAACAAAACGTATGGTTCTGGGGTCTAAAAGTGCTTTAAAAATCTGTGTATAATCTTAATCTCTCCATGCAAGGTGCTGACATCGAGCAGGTGAAAGAGGCCAAATTATTGGGAGTTAAAATTGACTCCACTTTATCATGGGCTGCTCATATTAAAAACATTGTTGCTAAAAATGACTTCTGTCATCTCAAATATAAGACGCTGTGTATATTTTTTTACCTTTTTCAAACATTAAGATCGTTATTCAGTCTCTGGTCCTTTCACATTTAGACTACTGCTCGGTAATCTGGTCAAGTGCCTCAAATAAGGATCTTGTCAAACTTCAACTAATCCAGAACAGGGTGGCTCCTCTGGCTCTGCGTTGCCCTTTTAGGACCAGCGTGAGCGTCGTGCACGAGAGGTTATCCTGGTTTACTGTTCAGGACAGACTTACCTGTAGCCTTATTTTGTTTTTTAAAAATGTATGTATTTTACAAAGACCCTTGAGCCTGTTTGCACAACTACTGCCCTTTAGTGGTCGGCAGGTTTTATCACAAGACAAGCTTCACATGGACATTTTATACTTCCACTGCCCAGGACTAATGCTCTGAAAAGAACTGTTCTGTACAGAGCGATATTGCTTTGGAATACGCTCCCCCAAACCTTAACTGTTCACAAGCATGAACCAAGTTTTAAGAAAATGTTAAAGAAATATATTGGAAATTGTATATAATTATATCTAGTCATTAGTCACGCATTGTAATTATTGGATATATTATAATTGTAGTAGTGTTGTGTAGTGCAGTATACTCTGGAACAGGACTGTATGAACTTATGTGTGAACTTTATTATTATAATGGAACATTTTATTGTAAATTATGCCAACTTGGACCCCAGGAAGAATAGTCTTTACCTGAGTAAAGACTAATGGGGATCCAATAAATAAATAAATAAATAAATAGACCCACGAATGACAAAGATATTCACTTTTAAATACTTTAAATCCAATTTTTTGGCCCCTCTGTGACCTGTATCTGATCTTTTAATGACAGTCTGAACCACACAGATCCGATTTTTTTTCAAATGTGACCCAGGACACTTGGACATGTGCTCCTAAAACTGATACATATCTGATCTTTTGACATGCGACTTCAGTCTGAACGGCCAAAGTGCATTCATCCACCTACACGTTATCAACAAGACACAAATGTCACTATTCTGCACTGAAGTAGGCAGCTGTTGTGCGGTAACAAGCACCTAACGTCACATGGACGTCACTTTGAGCAAGACACTTCTGTAGACTTAAAGGAGCAGGTTTGGAGCAGATGATAAACACAGAGTAAAGTGTTAGACTCACCGTGGCTGAGGGTTCAACTCCTGCAGCACCTCCTTCTCACTCGGAGCTACAACACAAAAGTACAGCTCATTACACACAATCAAACACTGCTTCTGCTTCTAGTTTTACTCTGTGAACTCCAGAGAAAGAAGAAAAATCTAATCTGGAAATCAACTAAACACCATTTCTAACTTCTAGTCGTCACAGTCCTGTAATAGTCGCAGTATTAGGAGCAGTAAATGAAAGTGTTACTTACGAGGCGAGGGCTGTTTGTCTGAAACAGAAACAAAAAAAAACTGTTAGTTTAATGTTTGAAGTTTGTCCAAAATGAGAAGCACATGACTCGATGTTGTGTTACCTCTAAATCTCCAGTACAAGACGAAGGCCACCACAGCGAGGACAACAGCAGCGAGAACAACAGACGCAACAGAGATGAGAACTGTGTGACTCTTCTCTGTGACAGACAGAGGACAACACCACAACACGTCAGTCATGATAAAACACACACACACACAACACGTCAGTCATGATAAAACACACACACACAACACGTCAGTCATGATAAAACACACACACACACACAACACGTCAGTCATGATAAAACACACACACACACAACACGTCAGATAAACACACACACACACACAACACGTCAGTCATGATAAAACACACACACACAAACACACACACACACACAACACAACACGTCAGTCATGATAAAACACACACACACACACAACACGTCAGTCATGATAAAACACACACACACAACACGTCAGTCATGATAAAACACACACACACACACAAACGTCAGTCATGATAAACACACACACACACACACACACGTCAGTCATGATAAAACACACACACAACACGTCAGTCATGATAAAACACACACACACACAACACGTCAGTCATGATAAAACACACACACACAACACGTCAGTCATGATAAAACACACACACACACAACACGTCAGTCATGATAAAACACACACACACACAACACGTCAGTCATGATAAACACACACACACACACACACGTCAGTCATGATAAACACACACACACACACAACACGTCAGTCATGATAAAACACACACACACACACACACACAGTCAACACGTCAGTCATGATAAAACACACACACACACACACACAACACGTCAGTCATGATAAAAACACACACACACACAACACGTCAGTCATGATAAACACACACACACACACACACAACACGTCAGTCATGATAAAACACACACACACACACACAGTCATGATAAAACACACACACACACAACACGTCAGTCATGATAAAACACACACACACACAACACGTCAGTCATGATAAAACACACACACACACAGTCAGTCATGATAAACACACACACACACAACACAGTCAGTCATGATAAAACACACACACACACAACACGTCAGTCATGATAAAACACACACACACACACACACGTCAGTCATGATAAAACACACACACACACACACACGTCAGTCATGATAAAACACACACACACACACAACACATCAGTCATGATAAAACACACACACACACACACACGTCAGTCATGATAAAACACACACACACACACACAACACGTCAGTCATGATAAAACACACACACACACACACAACACGTCAGTCAATGATAAAACACACACACACACAAACACGTCAGTCATGATAAAACACACACACACAACACGTCAGTCATGATAAAACACACACACACACAACACGTCAGTCATGATAAAAACACACACACACACAACACGTCAGTCATGATAAAAACACACACACACACACACGTCAGTCATGATAAAACACACACACACACAACACGTCAGTCATGATAAAACACACACACACACACACACGTCAGTCATAAACACACACACACACACACGTCAGTCATGATAAAACACACACACACACAACACGTCAGTCATGATAAAACACACACACACACACACGTCAGTCATGATAAAACACACACACACACACACGTCAGTCATGATAAAACACACACACACACACCAACACGTCAGTCATGATAAAACACACACACACACACACAACACGTCAGTCATGATAAAACACACACACACACACACACGTCAGTCATGATAAAACACACACACACACACATCAGATAAAACACACACACACACACAACACGTCAGTCATGATAAAACACACACACAAACACACATACACACACACACACAACACGTCATCATGATAAAACACACACACACACACACAGTCAGTCATGATAAAACACACACACACACAACACGTCAGTCATGATAAAACAACACACACACAACACGTCAGTCATGATAAAACACACACACACACACACAGTCATGATAAAACACACACACACACACACGTCAGTCATGATAAAACACACACACACACATAAACTTTTCGAGTTATTAATATGTAAAGGTTTAAACTGTTTTAAATGTATTTGTTTATATATCTTCAGTTGTACAAATAAACATTTGGATGAAGAAAAAACAAATTTGAAAGAATTTATAGATTTAAAGTCTTAAAATGTCATTCAGGTGAAATGGGTCACTATTTGCACAAATTATAAAATATTGACAAAATCATAAACTTTTCTTTGTGGCATAATTTTAAAAGCCTCGGCATCAACATTTGAAATTATTTTCAAAATGAACACAAAGAACAACTTTTAATGTATTAAATAAAGTCTATTTTATCAATGTCAATGTGTTAAAAGGCCAATTTGAACAATAATCTGAGATCTTTCCTCATGTAATCACCTGATGACATCACTGTGTGGACCCTGCAGGACTCTCAAGTGGAAACAAGATTCAGATTTGTCTCTTAGTTTTTGCTGGTGACACTTTTGTCACGAGAAATACAAAAGCCACAGTTTTGGACGACATTTGGTGCAACGTTCAAAATGTGTTTAAAACTGTTATAATTTCAAAAATAAAATCTGATATTGGTGTGAACAGTCGACACTGATGCTTGTGTTTCTCTT